CATTGGTCACTCTAATTTTAACTTCATTTTGTAAATTTTCTACATCTGTCATGCATTTCAAAATTTTCTCTGTAACTAAGTGGTCAATGGCACCACTGTCAAGAATAAAATTAATTTCAAAATCACTTACATTTGGCATAGCTAAGTTTGCTTCCAAAACTTCTGTTATAAATGAAATATCTTCAATGATTTGCTGCAAGCAAAGTCTATAGATCCTCGAACAAGTCCGGTCACTCCTTTGATCTCCTCAAAAAGCCGGCTTTTTTTGCGAAAGGTCGTAAATCATGTCAGCACGCGCCGATTTGTAGATAAGAAGCACATACGGGGGCGATGGTTCCGATTGTACTTGGTAATGTTTTTACAGGGGGAGTTTGAAAAAGAATGTCTTTTAAGAATATTTACGTTAATAAGTTTTTGGTTTTAAAAAATTATGGAAAAACTTTTTCTGCTTAGCGATTAGCATTAAATTAATTGACGGATAATCCTAATAATTATTGTTACTAAATTAATTTCATATTATAAAATCAGCGGTGTTACTTAACATCACGTTCTGGTAGTAACTTTGATGGAATAGCAGTTTTTAATGAAGGTTTTCCTACAAGCGTGCAGAAAACGCGTCTTCAAGCACCGATTTGCGTGCGGAAAGTATCACTTTTCCGCACAGACCGGCGTGCGCGAGAAAAGTTTTTCCACACAGATTTTTTTTTCAATTTTTCTTATGTCATGCTTCTGAAAAAAATAGTTATTTTCCTAACAAGTGCGCAAAGTGTTACTTTTCCGCACGCGAATACAGTTATACGAACGACGCGAAGCGGAGTTCGGATACGTGTTTGCGTGCGGAAAAGACACTTTGCGCACGTGTTAGGAACAAAATTTTTCCTACGAGCTTCATATCAGGTACGTAATAACAGAAATTTAAACAAAAAACGATAATTTGTTTAATTATTTTTAATTAACTTGAAGGGAACCTATGCATTTATCAAAAAATTACATAACAAAAAACATAAAATCCTCGTCAGAGCTGTTCATCTTAAAGCGTTTAAATTTGATGAGAAAGTTTGTAGATTTTTGCATATAAATAGAGAACAAATCTGACAATGTGTCAAAGTTAATTTATAATTGGTGTTTGTATAGATGTTGGCTGATATAGAAATAGAGGAAAAATTTGTCATCATGTGTCAAAGTCGACAGGTGCACTTATTGTTGCTTGACAATTATAATTACTTTTCGGCACTCAGTGCGGATAAGGCCTGTATCCGCACTGAGTGCGGAAAAGTGTAACTTTGAGCCCGGAAATGCGTGCGGAAAAGTACTACTTTGCGCACGCTCGTAGGAAAAAATTTTTTTCGAAATTACGTTCCTTTGTTCTTGCTCTTAAAGAAAGATATTAACTTTTTGTACTGACCAATATCGACATCTTCAATGAGTTTTACCTACGAACATGCGGAAAGTGCACTTTACCGCAACGATTCACAAATGGAAAGTAGCACTTTACCGCACACTATGCGGTTGAGTTACTTTACCATATAGTGTACGGTAAAGTTAACTTCACCGCATAGTGTGTGGTAAAGTAGACTGCAAAGTGTGAGATAATAGTTATTTACCTAACAAATGCGGAAAGTGATACTTTACCGCACGCAATGGCAGTTAAAGGCGGTAAAGGCACTTTCCGCATATGTTAGGTACAAAATTTTACCTATGAGCATCTACATCTCCAAAAAATGGCATTAATAAAATTAACTAATGAATCAGATTACTTAATGAAATTAGATTAGATTTTAGAAATGATCAAAAATCCATTTCCTGAAAAAGAAAGGATTTTTAATCATAAATACCAAAGTCTACTTTACCGCATACTATACGGTAAAGTTAACTTTACCGCGCACTTTTCAGTTCATTTTACCGCATACTATGCTGTAAAGTTAACTTTACCGCACACTATGCGGTAAAGTAACTTCACCGCATAGTGTGCGGTAAAGTGCCACTTTCCATTTGCAAATAAGTGCGGTAAAGTGCATTTTACCGCACGCTCGTAGGTAAAGTTACTTTACCGCATAGAGTGCGGTAGAGTTAATCATAAATCCCTTCTCTTCTAGGAAAGGGATTTTTGATCATTTTTAAATTTAATCTAATTTCATTAATTAATCTGAATCGTTAATTAATTTTATTACTGCCTTTTCTTGGAGATGTAGATGCTCATAGGTAAAATGTTGTGCCTAACACATGCGGAAAGTGCCTCCACCACCCTTAACGGCTTAACCAAACTGCGTTTCCGTGCGATAAAGTATCATTTTCCGCATTTGTTAGGTAAATAATAAATAATTAATCAAATAGTATTTTTGATACCCATTAGAATAATTCCATCCTTATTTATCAATCACGAATTAGATGAAATAAAATATTACCAAGAAAAACGAACTTCGATTGCTAATACGTCAATAATTGACGTATTAGCAATCGATTTCATGTACAAATAGGAAATTATTTTTATTTGTGTGTTCAAGAAGCGACATACGTTTTAAAAATTCTATACTTCTTCTAATTCCTAAAAAATCAAATTTTTGACCATTTCTTTTAGGATCAGTAGATCCAAAAACAAATAAAAAAACAATATGTCAATTTCCGCACGCTCGTAGGAGAAATATTGTACCTAACACGAGCGTAAAGTATCTTTTCCGCACTAACGGCTTGCCGCTGCGTGCAGAAAAGTATAAGTTTCCGCACTTGTTAGGTAAATAACTATTTTTGGACAAAGTGAATGAGTTTTCATTAAAGTGTGCAGAACATATTCTGACAATTCTGTTAGCCGCTTCGAGTGTTAATTTTTTTTGCTTATCTATGTTCTGCAACAAAGCCTAAAATGTCTTTCCATTGCTGACACCTTAAAAAATATATGATTGCGTTTTAATTTTATCAAATCGCAAAAATTTCGAATAAAATTTACTACACTTTTTGTTTGGCGCACCCGATATAGAACGCGATGCAAGCCACCCGGTAACTGAAGGCATAGACGAGGGTCCTCTTGAGCAGGGAAACCATAGGCTAGAAGTAGCGCGTCGGCAGGAGGGGAATTTTAGGCGACGAGCGAGAGTGAGCGGACTTGTTCGAGATCTATAGACTTTGCTGCAAGCTTCCACTGCTTTCTAATTCTGCTGCTTCCGAGACATATGCTTGCCTATTTGGGCCTCTTCTGTAACCTCTACCTCTTCTATAACCTCTTTGTACATAATTTTGATGCTTTTTGTTTGGACAATCTCTAACAAAATGTCCCTTGTCCTTGTACACCTTTTCCAACACTAAATGCACATCATGGCATCACGGCATCTAAGAGACGGGTTTTTACAAATTCAAAAGTAATGCTTGTGTTGACAGTTTCAATGGCAGTTATCACTGTGTCATATTTCTCTGGCATATTCAGGCCTATGATGTATCATTTTTTGTTATTTTAACAGCAACATTAAGTTATCTGTCATTGTTCATTCTACACGTAAAAATGAAGACAGGTGTAGATTTTGAGGCATAACACAACTGTTAAAATAACAGGAAAGGATACATCATAGGCCTGATTGTCAGCAATAAATAACATGCCTTGTCGTTCTGTATGTCTGTCTCATCAAGTTTAGCACCTGCTGCCTCTAGCTCTCTTAGTAGAACCTCCACCTGGATAAAATGATCTTGAAGGTCGTCAGAAGTACACTTCAATCTAAATAACTTCTTCATATAAACTATTTTGAAAGAGGACTTTTCCTTTCAAAAACATTCTCTAGGGACTTCATCATGGCATGCGACGTCTTGGCATCTTTTATATATTCCAAGTGCTTATCTGAAACACACTGCGCACTATAATACATTTGGCCTTGCTGTGCCTCTTTAAATGAGCCGGCTTTTCATTTGTGTTTAGGGTCTGGAACTGGTCATCTGTCACCTCTATTGCACTCTCAACATTTTCTTTATCCAACAATACCTGCACTCGAAACTTCCAGTTAGAATAATTGGTATTGGACAATTGAGGAAATGGTAAAACTGATGCAGCCATTTTCACAATACTTGTCGGCTTCAAAAAACAACAGCGCAGCGCAATGATAAAAAGAGTCGGAATAGAGGCAGACACTTCCCAAAACCCAGGACTTCTTACCAAAAGACCCATGAGCATGAAAAAAAGAAGATGGAACAGAGAAAATGGACAATCGCTTGAGATCGAGAAATTAAGATGGAGTGACAGCTGAAATGCTAAAAGAACAGAAGAACCTATTGGAGACATTTGTTCGATACGTGTTTTTAGGATCAAACATGAATATCCTGCTAGAATATCCGATCTGCAATATCTTGATGATATAAACAAATATTTTTGGATATTCCTGAGAAAAAAAAGCCAAGATAATGGTGATTCTAATTGAATTTTCAGCAAAAAAAAACCTAAATTCTTCTATTTTTAGTAACATAATGCATCTCTCATCACTAACCGCAATCAGTGGTTGAGGTTTGTGTGAAAATAAAAAAAAAACCCGACTCGATTTAATTCTGGATTTCGCAGCATGAATAACCTTCCCATGGTCTACGTGACTTTTTCAGTTGGATCGCTGTCATTAATTTCTGGCGAATCGGATTTTTATTTATAATTTCGATAAACCATCGTCATCGACGAATCTTTAGAATTCCGATACTAGATTTAAAGTAATTCATCTAAATTTAGTTTTGTGGTTGTTACGGCTTATTAATTTTAAAAATTATGTTGGTAAATTAAATACTCACAATTTTAATTTGAAATGTAACTTGTAACTTAAATTGTGAAAAAAGCAGTGTTCCATAATGAATGCAAAATGCGAAAAACTAAGAGCCAATAGCCATCTTTTCTGTATAAAAAAAGTCAAAATTCCAATTTTAAAAACTATTAAATTTCTTCAAGCCCTAAAAGCTGAAAAAAAAAAGAATAAAAACAAATCAAAATACAATAAACAAAATTTTATCAATAATATATAAATAATTACAATGTTTTTTTTTTGCATTTGCCTCTAACTTACAAATATAATAGCAATAATAACCTATAAACAATATATAATAATATATAACAAACTCTCAAATTATATATGTACAAAATAATTTGGCTTCAGTAGCTAGCTGTACAACTTCGATTGGTCAACCGCCAAAAATATACCTGCTTACTAATTATTATTAGCGAAAAATTAAATCGAATTAATGCTAACCCATATCATTAAATTAACTAACTAAATATGTAAATATATACTTATATGTACAATATTTAATTAAATTATGAAATCCCATCTCAACCTCAAAAAAATACTAATCTATCAATAATAAAGCTAAATTGCCTCAATTTGGAACAAAGCATGTTTCTAAAGCATAAATAAGGAAATTATACTAACAATAAATTACTGCATACTATATTTTAAAGGTGCCTCGTAAAAGGTATTAGCCGATGGAGGTGACGGTAAAGATGAAGGCAAAGAAGTCGAATGTGGAGGCGTCAAGTAAGGTTTTCTATCACATTGATTCGAGTGTTGCATGCCATTGCTCGGAGGTCTCATCACTAGAAAAAAAAATAAATTGCACATCGTCATAGCAAAACGAAACAAATTTAATGTGGAGATTGTTTACAAAAACGAACGGTGTTTATACTATGGAAACCACTTGTGATCAATCCTAACATAAATTGATAGACTATGCCGTTGTGTAAATGATATCGATGCTCTTTGAACATAGCAATTGATCTTTGTTGAATATAAAAAGTGATTTTTTTTTTTTTAAGATGAAAGGAGCTATAATGAGTTCAAACGAAAAGAAATATATTAGCTATTGGTCTCTTGCGCCCTTCAGTATTCCTATCTTAAATCTTCTTCATTATAGCAACAGTGTTTCAGTAGATGCTCTTCCTCTTTGCAATATTGAAATAACTCTTTCCGTTTGCCGTAGTGCTGGTCAATTTTCCCAAAGAGACGAATCCAAGGAAGAAAACATTAGTGATATAAATATGATCATTCTAATGAGTTTATCTAGTAAAACAAAGCATTTTGACTAAGACTGAAAATCTACTGAAGTTATCTTCTTCAAACTTCTCAGAGAACTCATGTCTAGATTATTCATTCGACCAATTATGTTGACTTGATGTTCCATTATTATTCATTTTCTCTGTCAAACAAAAATGTATGAATATTATGGGCCAAGTTTTAAATTCGAATTTCCCTATTAGATACTATTAGCGATTGTCAAATTTTTTAACAGTCATCTTCTATTTTCTTAAGACCGGCGCTTACTTACTAACTAGACGATCGACTTTCCTGTTGACAAGGTAATCGGAGATGACGTGACAGTTGACAGGTCGTCTGTCGGGTTTCGGTTAATGCGTTACATTCCTGGGTGGTCACGGAAATAGTAGATTCGAAAATGGTGAGGTAAAAATAGGCGACATGTGAGTTTTATGGCGTAGCCCGGTTTTATTGTTTTACGACGGCTCAGGTTGAAGGGTCGACTATTTTATGGGCCGAAGGGCGACAGGATATAACATTTGGCGTAAAGAAGGGTTGAAAAGTTACACTTTTGAGGATGTGATGTAATAAAAGGGAACGATAAATAAAAATGGTTCAAAGATTGAAAGAACAACCACATACATAATATTATGTCATATCATGAATAGAACTTTCGGGAACTCCAACCTACATATAAAAACAAAAATATTCCTAAAATGCGGAAGAATACAGGTTACATAAACTACTCAAAACTTCAAAATCAGAGGGACTTTTATGATTTATTGAGTAGGGTCTTTATATTGAATAAAATAAATCGCGAGTGGGTCTTAAGCTCAGATATGGAATTGTGAACATTTTTTTCACTTAGGCTCAATTTCATAATCGCTGGTAACCTGCACTGATTATCAAATAGGTAGTTGCGGAGTTGCGGGTTGACCATAAGTTTGCAGAGTGAGGCTTAAGTTAAGAAGCTTGACCAATAGTTTCGCCTAAACCACATAATATGAAACAGATACATTGTGGGTAACCAGTGTCTTGTGGTTATTATTGGGTTAGCGCTCCTTGTGAAAGTGGCCCTTAGATGCAAAAAATTCCTGTAAAATTTCTATCAAACCACCTTTGGAAGCTTCTGAAAGATACTTCAAGCAATCAGAGGGACTTCAAATTTTCAGGATTTATTTAGCAGGGTCTTTTTATCAAACAACAAACCGCGAATGGATCTGAGGCTCAGAAATGGAATTGTGAATATTTTCTCAGTTTGATGCAAAAAAATCATGGAAAATTTCTATTAAATCACCTTCGGAAGCTGCTGAAAAATACTTCAAGCCATTAGAGGGACTTCAAACTTTCAGGATTTATTCAGCAGGGTATTTTTATGAAACAGAACAAACCGAGAATGGATCTCAGGCTCAGCAATGGAATAATGAAATAATGAAAAATTTCTATTAAACCACCTTTGGAAGCTTCTGCAAAATACTTCAGGCAATTAGAGGGACTTCAAACTTTCAGGATTTATTGAATAGAGTTTTTTAATCAAACAGAACAAACTGCCAATGGATCTCAGGCCCAGAAATGGAATTATGATTTTTTCTCACATAGATACAGAAAAATCTTAAAAAAAAATCTAATAAATCACCTTTGGAAGCTTCTGAAAAATACTTCAAGCAATTAGACGCACTTCAAACTTTTGGGATTTATTAAGCAGGGTCTTTTTATCAAACAAAACAAACCGCGAATGGATCTCAGGCCCAGAGATGGAATTATGATTTTTTTCTCACTTAGATGAAGAAAAATCATGGAAAATTTCTAATAAATCAGCTTTAGAAGCTTCTAAAAAATACTTCAAGCAATCAGATGGACTTCAAACTTTTAGGATTTATTCAGCAGGGTCTTTTTATCAAAAAAAAACAAACCGCGAATGGATTTCAGGCTCAGAACTGGAATTATGGATATTCTTCTTACTTAGATGCAAAAAAATCATGTAAAATTTCTATTAAACCATTGTGAACCTTGTGAAAAAAACTTCAAGCAATAGGAGTGACTTCAAACTTTCAGGATTTAATCAGCCAGGGTATTTTTATGAAACAAAACAAACCGCAAATGGATCTCAGGCTCAGCAATAAAATTATAAATTTTTTGTCACTTAAATGTGAGAAAATAATGAAAAATTTCTATTAAACCATCTTTGGAAGATCCTGAAAAATACTTCAGGCAATCAGAGGGACTTCAAACTTTCAGGATTTATTGAGTAGAGTTTTTTCATCAAACAGAACAAACCGCTAATGGATCTCAGGCCCAGAAATGGAATTGTGATTTTTCTCACATAGATACAGAAAAATCTTAAAAAAATTCTAATAAATCACCTTTGGAAGCTTCTGAAAAATACTTCAATCAATTAGACGGACTTCCAACTTTCAGGATTCATTCAGCAGGGTATTTTCTTGAAACAGAACAAACCGCGAATGGATCTCAAGCTCAGCAATGAAATTATGATTTTTTTCTCACTTAGATGCAAAAACATCATGAAAAATTTATATTAAATCACCTTTGGAAGCTTATGAAAAATACTTCAAGCAATTTATTGAGTAAAGTCTTCTGATCAAACAGAACAAACCGCAAGTAAATATCGGGCTCAGAAATGGAATTATGATTTTTTTCTCACTTAAATGCAGAAAAATCATACAAAATTTCTATTATATCACATTTGGAAGCTTCTGAAAAATAATTCAAGCAATGAAATGGACTTCAAAATTTTCAGGATTTATTAAGCAGCGTTTTTTTTATCAAACAAAACAAACCGCGAATGGATCTCAGGCCCAGAAATGGAATTATGACTTTTTTCTTAGTTAGATGCAATAAAATCATACAAAATTTCTATTTAATCATCTCTGGAAGCTCCTGAAAAATACTTCAAGCAATCAAATGGACTTCAAACTTTCAGGATTTATTTAGCCAGGTCTTTTTATCAAACAAAACAAACCGCGAATGGATCTCAGGCTGAGCAATGGAACTGTGAATATTTTCTGTTTGATGCAAAAAAATCATGAAACATTTCTATTAAATCACCTTCGGAAGCTGCTGAAAAATACTTCAAGCCATCAGAGGGACTTCAAACTTCCAGGATTTATTCAGCAGGGTATTTTCATGTAACAGAACAAACCGCGGATGGATCTCAGGCTCAGCAATGGAGTTATGAATTTTTTTTCACTTAAATGTGAAAATATCATGAAAAATTTCTATTCAACCCAGCTTTGAAAGCTCCTGAAAAATACTTCAGGCAATCAGAAAGACTTCAAACTTTCAGGATTTATTGAGTAGAGTTTCTTAATCAAACAGAACAAACTGCCAATGGATCTCAGGACCAGAAATGGAATTATGATTTTTTCTCACATAGATGCAGAAAAATCTTTAAAAAAATCTAATAAATCACCTTTGGATGCTTCTGAAAAATACTTCAAGCAATTAGACGGACTTCAAACTTCTAGAATTTATTTAGCAGGGTCTTTTTATCAAACATAACAAACTGCGAATGGAACTCAGGCTCAGAAATGGAATTATGATTTTTTTCTCACTTAGATGCAATAAAATCATACAAAATTTCTATTAAATCACCTTTGGAAGCTTCTGAAAAATACTTCCAGCAATCAGAGGAACTTCAAACTTTCAGGATTTTTTCAGCAGAGTCTTTTTATCTATCAAACAAAACAAACCGCGAATGGATATCAGGCTCAGCAATGGAATTATGAATATTTTTTCAGTTTGATGCAAAAAAATCATGAAAAATTTCTATTAAATTACCTTTGGAAACTGCTAAAAAATATTTCAAGCCATCAGAGGGAGTTCAAACTATCAGGATTTATTCAGCAGGGTATTTTTATGAAACAAAACAAACCGCGCTTGGAGCTCAGGCTCAGCAATGGAATTATAAATTTTTTCTCACCTAAATGTGAAAAAATCATTTAAAATTTCTATTAAGCCACCTTTGGAAGCTCCTGAAAAATACTTCAGGCAATCAGATGAACTTCAAACTTTCATGATTTATTGAATAGGGTCTTTTTATCAAACAGAACAAACCGCGAATGGATCTCAAGTCCAGAAATGGAATTATGATTTTTGTCTCACTTGAATGCAATAAATTCATACAAAATTTTTATTAAATCACCTTTGGAAGCTTCTGAAAAACACTTCCAGCAATCAGAGGGACTTCAAACTTTCAGGATTTATTCAGCAGGGTCTTTTCATCAAACAAAACAAACCGCGAATGGATCTCAGGCTCAGCAATGGAACTGTGAATATTTTCTCAGTTTGATGCAAAAAAATCATGAAAAATTTCTATTAACTCACCTTCGGAAGCTATTGAAGAATACTTCAAGCAATTAGAGGGACTTCAAACTTTCAGGATTTATTCAGTAGGGTATTTTTATGGAGCAGAACAAACCGCGAATGGATCTCAGGCTCAGCAATGGAATTATGAATTTTTTCTCACTTGGATGTGAAAAAATTTCTATTAAACCACCTTTGGAAGCTCCTAAAAAATACTTCAGGCAATCAGAGGGACTTCAAACTTACAGAATTTATTGAGTAGGGTCTTTCTATCAAACAGAACAAACCGCGAATGGATATCAGGCTCAGAAATGGAATTATGTTTTTTTTTCTCACTAAGATGCAGAAAAGTCATGGAAAATTTCTAATAAATCACCTTTGGAAGCTTCTAAAAAATACTTCAAGCAATCAGAGGGACTTCAAACTTTCAGGATTTATTGAGTGAAGTCTTCTGATCAAACGGAACAAATCGCGAATAGATATCAGGCTCAGGAATGGAATTGTGAATTTTTTCTCTTAGATGCAGAAAAATCATACAAAGTTTCCATTATATCACCTTTAGAAGCTTCTGAAAAATACTTCAAGCAATCAGATGGACTTTAAACTTTCAGGATTTATTTAGCAGGGTCTTTTTATCAAGCAAAACGAACCGCGAATGGATCTCAGACCCGGAAATGGAATTATGATTTTTTTCTCAGTTAGATGCAATAAAATCATACAAAATTTCTATTAAATCACTCTTGGAAGCTTTTGAAAAATACTTCCATCAGCAACCAGAGGGACTTCAAACTTTCAGGATTTATCTAGCAGGGTCTTTTCGTCAAACAAAACAAACTGTGAATGGATCTCAGGCTCAGCAATGGAACTGTGAATATTTTCTCAGTTTTATGCAAAAAAATCATGGAAAATTTCTATTAAATCACCTTCGGAAGCTATTGAAGAATACTTCAAGCCATCAGAGGGACTTCAAACTTTCAGGATTTATTCAGCAGGGTATTTTTATAAAACAAAACAAACTGCGAATGGATCTCAGGCTCAGCAATGGAATTATGAATTTTTTCTCACTTAGATGTGAAAAAATCATGAAAAATTTCTATTAAACCACCTTTGGAAGTTCCTGAAAAATACTTCAGGCAATCAGGGGGACTTCAAACTTTCAGGATTTATTGAGTAAGGTCTTTCTATCAAACAGAACAAACCGCGAATGGATCTCAGGCTCAGAAATGGAATTATGATTTTTTTCTTACTTAGATGCAGCAAAATCATGGAAAATTTCTAATAAATCACTTTTGAAAGCTTCTGAAAAACACTTCCAGCAATCAGAGGGACTTCAAACCTCCTTCAGGATTTAGTGAGTAGGGTCTTTTTATCTAACAGAACAAACTGTCGATGGATCTCGGGCTCAGAAATGGAATTATGGATATTCTTCTCACTTTAGATGCAAAAAAATCATGTAAAATTTCTATTAAATCACCTTTGGAAGCTCCTGAAAAATACTTCAAGCAATTAGAGGGACTTCAAACTTTCAGGATTTATTCAGTAGGGTCTTTTTATTGAACAAATCAAACCAGGAGTGGATCTCGGGCTCAGAAATGGAATTATGATTTATTTTCCCAAGAAAAATCAGGATTTCTGACAATGACAAAATATACAGTTGAAAATAAGGCAGTATTTTTATTTCAAAAAATCGCATGTTTATGAAACCCAATTTCATCAAATTTTAGGATTCGGCAATAATGTGAAAAAAAAAAAAAAATTCAAAAAATCCTAATTCTCCCAGAACAAACCGCATCTAAGGACCAATTATTGGCGGGAAATTTTAGTTAAAAATCATACATGTAACAATTATTTAAAATTGACACACTTTCGAATACATGCAACCGAGAAGACAATGAAAATAATGAAGTATAAAATTCAAAGTTTTGAATTGTAATAAAAATGGATTTTGATTGATGATGTTTGGCATGCACTTTGGACCCCCATACTAGGAAAAAATTACTTACAATTTTCTGTCGACGTAGATATGACCCCATACTGATAATAATTATCTACAGGCGGCGGTGGAGTATCCTGATTCTCTGGCATCGGGCTCAACGGAGCTTTCATGTAACTACTCGAAATGGCACTATCACCGTACGACGGTAAAAGTCCTGACGAATTGGAACCCCACTCCCTGTCGCACTGTTGCTGATAAAGCCCTGTTGGATAATCGTAATTACCATAAGGTCCTCCAGGAACTGAGGTTACTTGTGGAGATGGTGTGGTATAGGAACAAGTAGAGTAATCTTGAGTAGGTACCAAAGATTGATGGTCGTATCCGGTCGGTTGATTAACCATGCTGGACATGTTGTTGGCGAAGAAGCTGCCCGGATGGTATTGGGGTTTCATTGCTTGGCATTTTCTTCTGAAGCCTCTAGGACGTCGCCTAAACGAGCCTTCTTCGAACATAAATTCACTTGCGGGATCTATGGTCCAGTAATGGCCTTTACCGGGACGTCCTAGGCCTTTCGGCAGTTTGATGAAGCATTCGTTGAGTGATAAATTATGACGCACCGAGTTTTTCCATCCTTGGTAAGTGCCCCTGAAGAAGGGGAACCGTTGTTGTAGGAACGAATAAATTTCACTCAAAGTTAGACGTTTTGTTGGTGAATGTTGTATAGCCATTACTATTAATGCTATGTAGGAGTACGGAGGTTTTTCTTGTCGTCTAATGCCGCTTTTCTTATCCGAGCTGCTGGGTTTTTGATCTTGATCTCCTGTACTCTCTGGCGATACATTGCTGCTGCTTATCGGATTGTTAGAGAGATTTTGGTTTGAAGTAGCTGACTCGTTTAAGGAGATTACACTTGGATGGTGTAGCTGCAGCTGATTTAAATGTTGCTGAATTGTTAAACCGGTACCGGAAGACTGGCCACCACCGCCGACTTCGATCAACTGCTGCTCTTTCATCATTCTTCAAAACATTTACATCCAGTTTCATATAAACTATAAACAATTCAGATCTTTTTATTTGATATACATTCCAGGATATATACACATACACACACAATATTGTATATTTACGGCGGAGGGTATATACAAACACGGAGAAATCGTACACAATTTACACAAAACTTTTATATACAAATGTCTCGCGTACGGTCTTGTGAATCGGAATGATATTAAAATTCGCCAGGAACCAGAGTTCTGGAGCGCTCCCGGTTGGACGGTGATGCCGGTAACTGAAGTGGGAGCGAGACGGGAATAGCGGATCCGATGGGTTTTCAGGCGGTGCTTCACGTCGAAATTTTTTCGGTGCCCCACCATCCTCTAAGGATTTCGGATTGGCTCGGGGTTTAAGGCTTGTGACTTTGATTATCGATCAGTGATCAGTGGTGGAAATGGATTTTGTTGTTTTTTGCTTGAATTTTCAAAAGTTGCTTTATGGAAATGGAGCTTTGACCAAGTGGGATTGTACTTTGGTTGATCAGAAAATTGGTCACTCTTTTAAGTTTTAGCCCCGAGGATGGATATATTTAGCTTAGAAACGTTTTAGGAGACATGAAAGACAATAAGGCTCGTGAGGAGGATGAAGTGATGATACAAAATATCATTAAATCTCTTAAAATTCCATAATGCTAGAAGGAACAACTACAAAACAGGTAGGATATATAGGTACCTCAAACTACATAGTTACTGATCAGCTTTTTTATAGATGAAGAAGGAACAAATAAAATATGGAGGAACAAGGGAGATGAAATAAACTTGGTGGAAGAAGAAAGTAGAAAAGCCAGTAGAGATCAAGCAAGAGAGAAATTGAAAGAAGAGGAAAAGGGACAATTAGATAATTTTAATAAAAAACTGTCTAGGCTGATCAGTAAGAAACAGTTATAAAATTGTTGGAAGAACAAATATAAGAATGGATGCTTAAATAAAGATGAATCAATTTAATAATTAGAATTCCATATGTTGATGTTTCATATAGTTAAGATTAGAATCTAGGGATTGGACGACTTATTGAATCAAAAGGTAGGCACCTTCCTTAATGTCTGATGAATAAATGTTTCCTTCCTCGAAAGAGCAAGCAGGTTTTCGTACCAATTATGGGACAAATGGAAAATGACCACCTTCAAACAACGAAGGTTTTTGTGGGAAAATGTATCCAATACAACAAATCACTAATGATGGTCTTCGTAGACTTTCAACTCCGTAGATCGGAAATCACTTTTGGAAGCATACTCGCCCAGTTTCATTATTGTAATTGGGATGTTTCATTAAAAGAGCAACAGCCAAAGTCGAAATATCAGATAGGGCAAACACAAACATTCAAAATAAACAGAGGACTAGACAAGACTTCCCTTACCGTCGTTCTACTTGAAGATCCCTGGTTCTTCAGCTTTGCATCCAGAAAATTGGAGAAGCCCGTGAAGATCCTTCCAGTTCCAAATCGAAAACCAATGAGTGGAATGATATAGTACAAAGATGACCGTTTCATCAAGGATTCATTAAATATGTATTTTTTTTGAGTATCTATGTATTTAACTCAAAAAACATGAATCATTACTTATAAATTTTAGTTTTCTATACTTAATATGTTGTAAATAAATTCAATCGACAAAACCAGCCTTAAACAAACCTATTTTATCGGCAACACAAAAAAATGCAATTTTTTATCACTATTTTACCTGAACTGCAAGTTTTTACTTACTATTTGGAGATTATTTATACTTTCGTGAATTTTTGATAAAGATGTTTATTATAGGAAGCGATTTATCAATAAATTAGCATTTTTTTGCAATTTTACATTGTTCAGGATGCAACTAAAAATGCATTCACCCTATTTTCAAGCTTCTACCCTCTTTTCCACGCCACTGGAGCTTCCGTATAGGATTAATATAGCTCAAAGTCAACTCCCAGGCCTGTCACGTAAGCCCGCCTTCAAGCTTTTACGTTCTGACGCCCACCAATTTGGATTTTTTCTTCGAAATTACTTCATGTAATGAATAAATGCTGCAGTTATTTAGAGGATTGAATAGTGAAACTCTACAAGAAGTTGCTCAGTATAGGTATAATTTCTAGAAACTTTCTTGCATAATAGGAAAACTTTGGCTCTGCATCCTTTTCGGATACGCCTATGTATGATCATGATGTTTTTCAAAATTGACATCACTCATCCATTAAGTACTGAGAAGCTCAAAAAGATATAAACAAAGAGATGAAAAGTGGGTGACAGATATTCCTCGGGGCGGGAAATTGAGGCGATCCATACTGTAAACCGTCAGCGAATTTATTACAAACAAATTAGGCAGCGTTAATTTATTAGTGTCTTTATTGTAGTATTTTTTTTTGAAGTTTCCACCAAAACTGACGGGAGCATGTGCTTTTTATCAGTCTCGAATTGACGTTTACAAATGGGTTTTGAAGTTGAAGAAGCTCCACCAGTAGCAACAATATTTTAAACTTAAAAATTCAGACGCATCTCTGGGCTTAAACAGTGTGGACCATTAAAAAGTTATTTCGACGCCTGGATGGCGTGATTTACGACCGAATAGCAGAAGCTAATTTCCTTTTTAATGTTGTTTTTTCATTTATGGTTCTAATTTTCGACTTTTATGGCTTTGTCATTACCCCAGTAATTACGAATCTGGGTTTGATAGGATTTTGAATACTACAAAGGAAGGTCAAAATATGGGAATACTTCATGCTTGCACATTTTGCCAACGTTACATAAAGCTGTCCTATTGTTCGGTGTCCTAACCATCTTCCATCCTTCTGTCTCTGAGGTTATATTAATATATAAATATAAATTTCTATCAGCAAATATAATATAGTCAGATTTCAGCCCCACATGCTTTAAACTGTGCACATATAAAAGGTACTGAAGCGGTCCCAGTACTGACCCCTGTGCAACCCCCACTTTTACAATTTTTTCTTCACTACTTTCACCATTTACAACTGTATAGTGTTTTCTTCCAGTTGAATATGTTTTCAGGAGATTATAGCATGTTCCTGTAAGTCCCATTTTATAGAGCTTTTGGAGCAGTAGATCAACGTTAACTGTCTCAAAGGCTTTCTTTAAGTCAATGAACACTGACACAACATATTGATTTTTGTCTATTTTACTTGATATGTGTTCCAATAAATCAACTGTGGCTCCCAGGGTACTGCTGTTTCTCTGAAAACCATATTACCTTTCATCAAACTTGAAATTTGCTGCAACAAAGTTGTTTATTCTTATTTTTATTATCTTCTCTATTATTTTGGTGAACATACTTAGTATGGATATGGGTCTGTAGTTGCTTATGTAATTATTGGCTCATTTTTTGTAGGTACATATTGGCACAATTTTTGCTGTTTTTAATTCTTCTGGATATATTCTACTGTCCATTGTCCAATGTTTTGTTTATGAGTTCAACAATCTTTGGGCCAACGGTGTGAAAAACTAGAAATAAGTCATTTTTTACTATGTTGTCTTTGCCAAGTGCATAGTGATTTTTTAGTTCGTTTAGTGTGTTCCTCACTTCTTCAAGATTTGTTGTTTTCAGTGTTAGTTTTTCCATTATTTCTTCTTCCTCAAATTTTTTACCAGCATTTGGTTGTATCTGTGAGGCTAGGGTTTGTCCTATGCTTGCAAAATGGTTATTAAACTCCTCAGCCATTTCAAAGTAAGTCTCTGCTCCACCCCTTCCTGTTATTTTTGTAATGGTTTTCTGCTTATTGATATTTCTGTTACACAGGTCATTAAGGACTTTCTATGTTTTTTTCGGATCACTTTCCGCTTCTTGAAATTTCCTTTCAGCATACTGTCTTTGTAATGTTTTCCGAAAATTATTTAGTGCATTTTTGGCTCTCTTAAATTCTTTTGTAGTAGGTATATTCGTTTTTTACTCTTTTCATCCTAACATAAAATATATCTTTTTCTTGGAGTTTTTTAATAAACTCTTTTGTGACCCAGTAATTTTGGTTTCTTATTTTTAGTGTTCGTTGATGTGTTGTACAGGTATTCTTAGTATCATTTATTACACTGGTCAGTTCTCCAAAGGTATTTATGATTCTTTTTGTAAATTCTTCTTTAAAGCGAATTTTCCAATGATCCGTATCCAGGTAAGTTTTTTTTTATTATTTGTTTGGTGTTTTGAAATCTGACTTTCTTTACCTGAATAAAAATAACTTTGTGGTCGAAAATGTCATTATCTTCCATCTTTAGGGTGCAAGCAAATTCTTGTTTGTTGTAACATAATCCAGAATTGAGGCTGAGTGTTCAGTGGTTCTTGTTGCATTTTGTTGAGTTATTATGTTTTGAAGTTGGAATCCATTCATTTCTATTGTGTTTTTATATGTTTTAACTGCTTGCGAGTCTTTCAGCAGATCTAGATTCATGTCACCTATCAGGATGGTGGGGTTTCTTTGCTGTTCCAGCAATTTATCTAATTCTGCTGTAAATATTTCATGATTGTTTTTTGGTGCTCTGTATACTGCATAGACAGTAAGGTTCTGTATAGGTAGGTAAACAGACACTATGTTGCAGTCCTCAATTTTTGGTAGGTATACCGTTGCTCGTTCTGTATATAACTCAACTCATTTCTTATATAAATGCTTGTCCCTCCTCCTCAAATGTATAGTTTTCCCACTAGTTAGTAATGTTGTCACAACCCCTATACGTTTCGTCCTGGGACGTCACAACAGGAGCATGACATAAGACTGAAACTAGGTTTGAGACAGGTCCAGAAGGGCGTTTCTCATCAAAGGTAGTTTGCACTGAAACTAGTCTGCTGCGTTGAATATTCCCAGAGGGGCGTTTCCCATTAAAGGTAGTTTGCACTGGGAGGAGACTTAGCTAGAAGGGCTTTTCCCATTAGGGGTAGTTCGCACTAGCCTTATTCTACCGGTATATAAATAAATGCTGACTCGTCGACACACTTTAGTAAAATTGATGTACAGAGTGGTATTCACTTAAGTAGTTGACAATATATCATTTAAATCACTTAATTTATTTCTAAAACTTCTAATATTTATGTACAAAATGTTCAGATTTTCAAACACAGCCATTTTAGCGATTAAGTGTTTTTTTTTTTGGTTTCGTTTTTGTATCATAGTGAAGACTGATTGCATTCTCTAGCTTGCTTGAACAAGAGTTGATTTTTGTGTGTCAGGTCCTCGTTGAAGAAAATATTTTTGCTTCCTCCCAACAGTCCACATTCATTTACTTTTATTCGTTTATAATGTTTCACCTGTTTCAATACTGTCTGTTTTACTGTTTGATTCCTTAGCTTAACTAGAATCGGCGCATCATCCTTTTTACTTATCTGGTAAATTTCTTGTATATCATCTTCCTGTAGTCTCAGTTTCATGCCACTTATAACTTTTTCTACGATTTTCTTTGGTTCCTCTTGTTGTTTTGGGATTCCTACAACAATTAGGTTATTTGCTTTATCCAGTTGCTCGATGGTGTTTAATCTGTCTTCAAGAATATTCACACGCTCTTTTAACTGACTGTTTTCCTTTTTTAAACACTTCACCTCATTTATGAGATCATTAATGGCATTCTTATGTTCAATAAAGCTGTCCGACAGAAACTGGACTGACTGTTTGAGTTGGCCAATCTCTGTGTGGAGTGACTGCTGGAAAGGGGTCAGGCATTCCTTAAATATGGTTTGAATTATTGTTTTCATCTTTTTCTCGTCCATTTTCTCAGTTTTTGAATGCTTTTCCTCAGGTTTAACCTCTCTTCCTGTACGCATAGTACAA